TCTCAAACAAAAACTTCCTACTAAAAATTGAACGCATGTGGCGCCATCTGTTGGGGATATTTTGGAATTATTCAGCTAAGAACCGAACCACTAGAATACAGGTTGGATTGGGTTTATATATAAAAGTTCAAACCACAGAATAACTGTTTGGAAAGTGTTCTGTGGTTCCAATTAACGTTCCGACTGGTTGGAAATTCCTCAGATGCAATTACACCTGTCAAATAATACCGCCGTAATTTATTTATTTTTCGACTAAAATAATTAATTAAATTGTTATTGATAACAATTTAAGAAATAAATAAATAAATTTTTAAATTAATTGATTCTGTAAAGAAAGAATTTAATTGTTACATAAAGGAGAAAAAAGTTGAGGTTATGTTGTAACATAACCTCCAAAAAAAAAAAGATTTAATTACTTTTATATTATAAATTTTATAACAAAATACAATTTTTGTATAAAAAAAAATAATAATTTTAACACTTACGATGCTTATTACCTTCAATCCATAAAATTTCCATTTTAAAATATTTCCCCACTCCCTAATTTGTTTGTTAAAAGCGGATTTACTAAAATAAAAACATTAATACATTTAATACAAAAAAATAATTCAAAAATCCACTTATAATAACCTCTCAGTTCTGTTTTTCTAACTCCTCAAATCTATCTTTAGCTCTAAAAAGATCCTACCTTAACTGTCACAATTTTTCTTCATCATACATCCTTTTATATTCTTCAAATTTTTTATTAATGTATGTATTTTAATTGTCCAGTTTGATCTTTTTGATTCGAACAGTTTCCTAACCGTGTCTATTTCGCCGAAAACGGCTTGGATGAGCATCGGCTGTAAATAAAGATAAAAACGGGGTACAAAAAAATCATAACCTCAACATTGCGGGTCACCCACTTGCTCGTCTAATTGCAAAATGATCATTGCGAAGGTGGAGAATTTCGTATCACATCCGAANAAAATAATTAAAAAATCCACTTATAATAACCTCTCAGTTCTGTTTTTCTAACTCCTCAAATCTATCTTTAGCTCTAAAAAGATCCTACCTTAACTGTCACAATTTTTCTTCATCATACATCCTTTTATATTCTTCAAATTTTTTATTAATGTATGTATTTTAATTGTCCAGTTTGATCTTTTTGATTCGAACAGTTTCCTAACCGTGTCTATTTCGCCGAAAACGGCTTGGATGAGCATCGGCTGTAAATAAAGATAAAAACGGGGTACAAAAAAATCATAACCTCAACATTGCGGGTCACCCACTTGCTCGTCTAATTGCAAAATGATCATTGCGAAGGTGGAGAATTTCGTATCACATCCGAATCGGAGGCTTCACGAATGACAATCGATTTATTTAACCACCGTGGGGCCACAAAATGTAAAAAACGTTAGCGATTCGAAGCAACACGAAGTTGTTTAAAAAAAAAAACGATAACTGTATCGCTGTTGCGCTCCATCTAGCGGAGTATTAATTAAGTAATTTAATTATTTTTTTCGATTAAAATAATTAATTAAAATATTGTTATTGATTAATAATTTAAGAAATAAATAAATAAATTAGTTGGTTCTGTAAAGAAATTAATTGTTTCATTAAGGAGAAAAAAATTGAGGTTATGTTGCAACATAACCTAAAAAAAAATGTTATAGTTTTTATATTATAAATTTTAACAAAATACAATTCTTGAATAAAAAAAAATAATTATTTTAACACTTACGATGCTTTTTTAAATTTCCGTTTGAAAATATTTCCCCATTCGCTAATTTTTTATTAAAAGGGTATTTACTAAAATAAAAACATTAATACATTTAATACAAAACAATAATTAAAAAATCCACTTATAATAACCTCTCGGTTCTGTTTTTCTAACTCCT